CTAATAAATACATAAATGCCACGTAAAATCTGGGTGGTGTTACCCTCAAACACATTAATAAACAATCAGAGTTTTTAATAATAATTTAGTATCGTAGATCCCTGATGTTCTGCTTGTTTTTCCTCACCAGGGTGAGGTGATGGACATCCAGTATGGCAGTGTCGATGACCTAAAAAGAGCCAAAGAGACCCTGAACCTCACCAACCAGATTGCTGTGGTCAAACTTGGCAAAGTACCTTTACTATATAAGGTAAGGTAGAAAGCTCCACAAAGTAATGCTCACTATACAGTGCCAATAAAGGTATCAAATGATATGGTCTGAAATGGTAATCCTGCAGCAGGAGAAATGAAATGTTTTGATCTTTAAAAAAGTCCAAGGTATGACTCAAAAATGATTTTCTTGTAATATCAGAGCTTCAAAACAGAGTGTCCTAAATGAAGTACCTTTAACTTGCATGGAAAAGTAGCACACTGCCTTCTGAATCTAAGTGCAGCTTGTTGTACAGGGATTTTATATTCAATAGTGCCTAGTCCACGTGGGTTGTCATACATGACTAATTCTTCTGTTTGCCATTACCATGCCTAACTTTTTTATCTGCACCTCCTTAGCACAATGACATCTCAATCCATTTGCTTCATGAGCAGTAACATTAGCAATACATTGATTTATTAGGGTTGTTTCTCCTTGGATGTCTGCCACATTCTCCTCAAAGCAGTTTTCCCATCAATAAGAAGATGACAGGGAAAATATATGTTCCAATCCAGTTAATTAAAACATAAACACATACTAACATGTTAATTACCCTGCTCATTAATATTGTTTCACTTTTCATTAAATCAAAATGAATTCTGTTGAAAAAAATGAAGGCAGCCTCTACAAGGACATAATCAGCAATGAAATTTAAAGTTAATGTAAATGTATTGGATCCATGCATTGCACTGATTACGGCGATACATAAATGCCAACGTTGACACTACATTGTGTAATGATTAGAATAAATTAGATCTTGATCTGATAACATGAACTTGCAATACAGATCACTTAGTCACCATATTCATTGTTTTGATTCAGTGGCCAGAAGTCAGTATATAACAAAACTCTTTGTGCATGCGTTGTTGTCACGATCCTGGGTCTTTTGACCCAGCGTTTTGAGTTTTAGTTTATGTTTAAGCCCTTCAGGTTTTCTAAGTTCATTTTTTATCATGCCTAGGTTGTTATAGTTCTTTGTTATTAGATTCCCCTTGTGTCTTCCACCCATGTTAAGTCTCCCTTGCCCTTCATGTGTTTCATGTCTGTGTCTTATGTTGTCTAGTTCAGGTTGTCATGTCTGCGTGTTATGTTTCCTGTTTTATTTTGAAGAGGTCTGGTGTTCCTGTGTTCATCGTGTTTAGTTTTACTCTTCCACTGTGGCGTCGTTATGTTCATGTGTGTCAGCTGTCCCCCATGTGTTCCCACTTCTCTCATTAGCCTCCTGTGTGTATTTAGTCTGTGCGTTCTCATTCAGTCTTTGTCGGATCGTCTGTGTTATTCCCATGCCAAGTCCTGCGTTCAGGTTTACATATATATGCTCATCATCGCCATGTTTAGAGTTTTGTTTGTTTTTCTGTTTGTCAGGGTTTTTCATAGTTCGTGCTTCCTTTCTAGTTTACCCAGTTTAGGTTATTGCATAGGTTGCATTGTTTTTGCCCTCTTATTTTGTACTGTTCTGTCTGCCTTAATAAATGGCTCATCATCAGTTAAGTTTGAGTTTTAGAATGTCTGCACCTGGGTCCACTCTTCAAAGTCCGCGCAGTTTGCCTCGGCAAACTGTGACAGTTGTGCTCAGTTTGAGTTTCAAACTCAGTTTGGACAAAAATATATCTGTGCTTGTATTCAACATTTCCAGGAGTTAGATGTTTTTAAGCATTGTACTTTTAACATTCTGGAAAGCCAATGTGGTAAAAAGGTTTTGTAAAGATGATCATTATGTATTTAGAGTCACTCACAGACTTGCATAACCTCAGACAGAATATACTTTTTCTCATTGTTATTCTGCTATAATTGAAGGAATACTTTTGTACTTAATTCCTGTGTTTGAGACATTACACAACTTTTGTATGTTAAGTTATTGATAAGTGACAGCCTAATGAGGTATAACAGGAGTAAATGGAAGTTAGCAAGGGAAGGAGAGGAAATGTTTAAAGTCAGGTCACTGTACTTCATCTTGCATTGGCTTGGTTAGACTTCTAAAAATCCATTAACTGAAACAGCTGTCACATGGGACCCCTTCAAGCAACAGGCTGCTGACCCATTTTTTCCTCTTCACCCATAGTTTGTGACAAATATGAGCATGTGTGTTTCATAATGTCTCTATGTACCAGTGGCTGAGAGAAATGATCACTCCTTACGTAGAAGTAGGGAAGGATGATTGATGAGAATTGTACTCTCACTAATGAGTGTGTGACAGTGACTGCAGGGCCTAATGTTACACATGCAGCTTCAGTCAAATTTGACACACACACACTGATGTGCTTATCAGTGTGTTTTAACTTATTTGGCTCCATTAATAGCAGCTAATTTTGGAAAGACATTACTAATTGCATTATGGTCTTATTTCAGTATATTTTCCTACTGTTGCATGTTTATTCCTAAAATCTTTAATATCCAGTTATCATAAATTTGAGTTGAGTGAACATTTTTCAGCTTGTGTTCTTCTGATTTTGGTTTTCCACAATTTGTTCTGTTTTTATCATGGACTACAAACTGTGTGTATGTGTGTTGTACATGCGTTTTTGTGTGTGTGTGCATGCTTTGTAAGTGAATGGTCTTAGGAACAGTCACAGAACACATGCATAATTGAGAAAAGAAAAGAACCATTAATTTGCATGACTTTCGTGTGTATAAAAAAATATGTGTATTAAGGGATTTTCATTAAAAGAGGCAGATTTTTGAGTTTGTGTGTGTCTGTGTGTCCCTGAGTCCATGCCTGTGTTGTGTCCCTGTTTTCCAGTGAAGGACAGAGTTGTGATGAGAGTAGAGTGACCGTGGTTGGTGTCACATATTCAATAAAATAGTCATCTACGCTCATAAAAAACAAGGACACTACATCTTCCATGGACAACGATAAAATACTGTGCTACACAGTGGCAGCTGCAGCACACTTCATCTCTCTCAGAAACACTTCTGCATTATTATCAGTGAGGGTGACTACATAAACACAAGCGTAACCTTTGATCAACATGAAAATCAGAAACCCCCTCTCACTGTATTAATTTTGCTCATATAATAAGAAATAAACTCTTCTTTTCTTCTTAAAATTATTAAGAAATCATATCAAAAATCTTTTGATGTATTGTTTTATTAGATTTAAATTTTGAGTTGTGACTAAACATTAGTCTACACATTGATAAAGGAGGAGATGAAGTACACCAAAACTCATGTCAATGAGCATCTCAGGGTTTCTCCACAGCGTGCTTTACCGTGATTTCACCCACAGTAATGTTTAATTCTTAATCTTGCTGAATTAATGCTTAATGTTCTGACTTATCACCATCTACTGCATGATAGTGAAGTAAATATTTACTTGAGACAGTGTTTATGAATAAAATAACTATATGAAAGAGGAATCTGGGTTTGCACGTCTTGTCTTAATAGTGATGGTATACACAGATATTTGCTATTTCTGTTTTCATCATTGAATCTTTGTGTTTGTCTAGCTATCCCTTCTGTCTGAGTTGGGTTTTGGAGGTGTTCTTCTTTACATTGACCCCTGTGATGGTCCCCCCAGTCGCCACACTTGGCGTCAAGCCTTTAGAGTCACTTTAAACCCTGGAGGAAGTCCTGCAATTGGTAAGTGAGCAATTTGTGTTTTTAAAGTATATTTTTTTTCCAAAAGTTAATTCAGTTTGAGCTTATTTTTATAGAACTACTTCTCAACAAATGTAAAGGCATTTTATTTTCTATGGTAAACAATGAACACGATTGGAGAGAGAATTCCTTTTATTACACAATCTATGAGTAAGTACAGTGGAAAGGAAGTAATCAGCCTCAAGGGTGGGCAGTCATTTGCCATTGTTGGTAGGTTGGTACTAAGGGCTGGGAGAAGACAGAAAAGGCATGCATCAAAAGGCTACAACCAATGCTTCTTTTAAGGCTGAAAAAGTTCAGATTTGGCTGAACTTGCTAAATAAGCAGAGTTTACTTTTTACAGTGTCAAAAGTAATAAGTCAGTTAAAAGTACATGTTACATTATAGGCAGTAGGCACCCTTTAAGCACAGGTTAAATCTGTGTGATCACCTGATTTGTGCTTCTGTGACTGTGGTTTATTTTATATGGGCTCTCATTATCCTAGTTGTTCCTTTCCGAATCCTTGTCATTGTGTAAAAGTGGAGTTACTGTAGGCGTGTGATAGCAAAAGCAGTAAAAACAAACATCCCATGTCAATCCATAGAGTTCTCATGTAACAACAAAAAACAGGTTTAATTTTCTGTCAAAGATATTTCAAAATACAAACTAACAACTTTTACAGTATAACGTATCCAACTTGCAAAAAAAAGTAATGCATTTCTCCAAATTAATCAAATGTAATTTGCTGAACAGTCTGACAATAACTCACAGCTGTCAGTTTGTTTTGAAAGGGAGCTTTTTACCACTTAAAACACATATTGCTGCTATTCTTATCTAGCTAGATACTGATGATAAGTACACAAACTGCAAGCTTACAATCTGCCTGCATGACCCCTCTGATGGGAAAGCATAAGAATATCAAAGAGAGTGAGGGCATGTCGTGGGGTGACATTATGTTCTGATTTACTGAGTATTTCAAAGTCATAGTCTGTGAGCAAAGCCAAGCTGCAGCATGGAACAAATAAACCTGCTTAGCATTATTCAAACCTACAAATTATATTTATTTAAAAAAACAAAAAAAACAACAACAATGACAACACATGGTTCAGTTAAACCCCTGCCTTTAAGTAAAGCTCAGTTCAATAACACTTCTCTCTGGATACTGGTCAGTGCTTGAAAATTACCTTGATCTCTGGCAGAGGATTTAATATCTTTTTGACTCTATTCTACTGTATTTAAATCACTCTCCCCAGATGAATGACCTCTCTGACACTGTCTTGTCCCTACTTCCTGTTTTTCTGCCCGGTCTGGTCAATAGGGATATGTCATTACTGCTGAAGTATCTTTAGTCCTTGTACGAGTCCCAGCACCACAGTGGCAAGACCCACTAGAGCCCCACCAGATGTCTGGGCTGCTGTGTGAGCATGTGTAAGAGTGTATATGTGAACGGGTGTGTTGAGCTGTATATAAGTGGAAGAGAGAGAGACAGATGCTGGCTGTCTGATCTCTCACCAATCGCAATGCTCTCAGGTCCCTTGTGCTAATGCAGCTCAGAAGAACAGAGGATGTGAAAGGACACCTCATTACTCATATAAACCATACTTTATTCAACTGCAAGAGTCTGCCAAGATTAATATCTGTGTTTTGTTACTCAAAAACATACATTCAGTGAAATTAATAATAATAAGAAGTGTCATGTGAACATGTTACAACCACGATTTAAATATGAATTAAAGTACATTAATATGCTGATGTCTTCTTAATGTGTGATACTTTTTATATTGTCACCCATTCTCAGCAGTGGTCATTTGTTTCATTGCATTGCTATCATGCAAGCTGATAAAGTAGTGATTCAAAGGATGCTGTCAAAGGAAAAGAAGAGGTTATAATTCTGTTGTTGACTCCAGGTAACTAATAGGAGGCATTCCCAAGATAGCTAACAAATTTCTTCTAGTGTGTTTAATACATGTAAGGAAAACTTACATTTGCCAGTCTTTCCAGCAGTAGACCTTCACCCCAAGGTCAGACAGTGCAGTCAGAGAAATTGCATAAATGGCCAAGAGCTACAGCTCAAACTTTACATGCCGCAGAATGCATTTTAATGTTACCATTATGGGATTTGAAAGTTCATGATAGTACAATTTGAAAAAAACTGAACAAGAGTGGCTTGTTTGGGTGGGTTCACAGGGGGAAAAGCCCTTTATGTCTAAAAAGAATAGTGCAGATGGCTCCGCTTTATCTAGGTGTGTCTGAACAAACCACAAGACTTCTGAAGCAAAGTCCTTTGGGAAAATAAGACCAAAGTAGAGATGCCTGACCATAATAGTGCCATGTTTGGAAAAAAGAAAAAGAATAAAGGTCTCAACCCAATTTAAATTATGTGTCAGGACATAATGAAAGTGCCCTCCAAAATGAGAGAGACGATAACTTCAAGTTATTTCAACTAAAAGTGGTCTATAACCTGCTGAATAAGTGGGTCTGCTTAGTCTTGGAAGCTTCAAATTGCTGCATAATGACAAAATTGGCACTGATACTCAAATAAGCTGCACTTTTACTTTCACTATTCGTTTTTGTTTGCTACCATCTGTCAGTGCTTTTGTTTTCCTCTGTAGAATGGAGGCTAGTGGAGTACATGTGGCACTTTTATTTGGAAAGAGTCTAATTGTTGGAGATCATTAAAAAATGGTCAAGATATTTTTTTTTTTACCATTTTAACTACATGCAAACCATTTATTACATTTCTTTTGCATATGAAATGGTGTTCTACATAATGAAAAATATCATTACGAATGTGCTTTTGCCATACAAGCAGAATGAGAGGATATTATGCCCTCAATTTTATAATTGTAGTTGGTCTAAAATCTGCATAAAACCTTCCGTGCTTGCCGCTCACAATCAGCTGCCTTTCTTTAGTTTTAAATGAATCTTCATGAAGTCAAGATGAAAATTGGATCCATTTGTGCAATAAAGTAACCACCATTATTCCATAAAAAATATCCATTTCTGAAAGACGTCTGTGTTAAAGTGCTCCACCTTCATTACAATATATTACATTTGTTTTTCAATGTCACAAAACTGTAGGGTTGTCTAAAAACATGTCTAACAAGCTTTGAATTTACTGTATCCTAAAGCAAGCATCACTGCTTCTCCTGGTGGTAAGGTGGAGAATAAGATGTAGAATACAACATAATAATAATAATAATACCCTGTATAATAATATCCTGAGGTTTCTAGTCATTTCAGGGTGGATCTATCTTTGTCACATGCCCTTGTGCTAAGCACTTACAATTTACTGAAATGTAGGCCAGTTTCTTCCCCAAACAGAGGCATATTGTGCCGTTTTGTGAGACTTTTAAAAAGCTGTTGTGGTGCACCTGCTTAAGTTGAAACGCTTTTTTCTTTCCGGGCCCTTGGTGTTTTAAGAGCTTTAAAACACACTTGGTTCTCAGTGGTGTCAAAAGTAGCTCCCTTTTCAAATGGAAAAATAAGACACAAGAAGCTGTCAGTGGTGCTTCCCAGTGGAAATGCTGCCAGTGGAAGTGCCTTTTAGAGTAAATGTAATTCCACTGTTTGGAGGGCTCTGTATAATGTTACCCTAGACTTTCCCCCGCCTCTCAGTGTATTGTTTGGACTTTTTGTCTTCCTCACTCTCTACTCTCTCCTCCTCCTTTCTGAGCTTGTTAATTTGACTCTTCCTAGCAGCTTTGTATCACTGCTATATTGTCTGCTGAGACAGCTACAGCAAATCAAGCTGTATGTACTCTAACACCAGCAGTCGTTCATTCACAGTTGTGGATATTTGTATGCATTCACTGTGTACGTGTGGGTTGTTGAGTGTTGTGACCTTTGAGAAGAACTAATCGTTTTATATGCATTAATTAAAAAAAATAGTAAGATGGTTTTAAAATGCTCACCCCTGCTAAGTTTCTTGTTTCGTATTTATTTATTTTCCTTCCATACATGTCTGTTAATGTCACATACTGTAGTACATGAGTGAAAAGAGAAAAAAAATCTAGTTGTATGCAGATTCGTGCAGAGCCCACAGTGTTTGCTTAGATATCATCAGCAGGTGTTCGCTGTCAGCTTTACTCCACATTGCTCCAGCATTCATCTAGTTTGATGTGCACCATGCTGCTGTAGCATTCATTTATTCTCTGAAGAGATGCCACAGCTTGGATTTTCTGGCTTGCCATATAACTGTCTTGACACTTGGTATAAAGTTGAACCAGTGCCAACACAAAAATCTGTTCTTATAGAGACACACTCAAATGACTGACTCAGAAAACATTGGCTGCAATGTTGTTTGTGTGGTGTTTCAAAGCTTGATTACCTTGACTTTAATTTGCAAACCATAGTTGTAGAGTTTCACTTACGCAGTTAATAAACAATATCGTTCGTGGAGCATCTTCTTACTATAATCATTGTAATGTATGCATGTATGTATGCATCTCATCTTCAACAAGTCAGCCAATCTCAATGAAACTTTGCATGAGCGTCGTAGACATTAGGCAATTATAAACATCTGCATGCTTTTGAAATCAGGAAACAAAGCACTATGAATTACCATTTATGGCTACATTCCAACCAGGAACAGATAAAGGTTAATTTAAAGTATATTTAATGTGATCTATTCGGTAAAATGTAAGCATGTAAAAGGCTAAAATTTCATTTAAAGGAAAACATGAGCAGTAACTAACTCTTCCTGACATTACATCAGTGGACAACAGCATTTTAATACGCTTGGGTGAGCTACTGGAACAGGAAGTGGACAAGGAAAAATAATAGGGAAATGTTGGAAGGCTACTACAGATGTAATCCCAGTGGAAGAAGGTACATGAAGACGATTTGGGAGGTATGAAATTTCAGACATCCAGCATCTAGACTAACAGCAAAATAACTAGTAGCCCAGAGTTCCAACATCCGGAAGGAGCAACTGCTATCATAACTAGAAATTGACAAGGTACAACGCAAACGCTACGGCAAGGGGGAGACTACTTTATAC